CTTTCCATCTTGAGCACCACTTTTCCCTTAACAGATCCAATCACTACCTCAAAAGCATCCCAAGTACGATCCTTACCCCAAACCCTTATAAACAACCGGTTTTCAAATTGTGCCTGCTCATGCCAGGCACAATGGTTTATGCCTGTAATCTCAGCACTTTGAAAGGTTGAGGCAGAGGATCGCTTGAGCCCAGGAGTTCAAGACCACCCTGGGCAGCAAAATGAGACCCTGATCTACACACACACACACACACACACACACACACACACACACACACGAATTAGCCAGGTGTGGTGGCGCAACCTTGGCCTCCTTGATTCCAGATACTCTGGGGACTGAAGGATCCCTTGAATCCAGGAAGTCAAGGTTGCAGTGAGGTATGTTCATGCCACTGAACTCCAGCCTGGGTGACAGAGCCGGACCCTGTCTCAAAAAAGAAATAAAAGAAAACTTCTCAACTTGAACCAGTAGCAAGTTTTTCAAATGTTTTTGGAAAATGAGAAAACTTCTGGATACTCATATTTGTATTTTTCCAAAAGGCGCAGTGCCTTGGTTATAATCAGATGTGACCAAGAATTCAACTGTGAGGAATGAAGATCACACCAGAATGTACCAATTGCATCATTTATCTATTGCTGCGTTAAAAAAATGACTCCAGAACTGGGTGGCTGAAAACAAAAACCATTTGTTATTTCTCGTGATTCTGTGGACTAGCTGGGCTCAGCTGTGGTTTGTTGTTGTTGTTGCTGTCGTTTTCCATTCTAAGCGCTGTTTGCTAAAGTCATTCATTCAACTGGGTCACCCATTGAGCAGCTGCAATACCCTGAGAACTCTGACAGGGCTTAAATATGCAAGATGGTTTCATTCACATATCTGGAAATTGGTGCTGGTCAGCTGGGCGGCCTTAGTTCTCCTTCACATGGCCTCTCATCTGCTAGCAGTTTAAATGATCTTTCTTACAGCATGGCAACTGAGTTGCAAGAGGGAAAGGCCCACTTTTCCACAACTCCACATAATATTTCCAATACTCATATCAATCCATATCTGAGTAATCATTAGAATATCAAGGAGGCATTCAGGAAAGGCTAGCTTTCCAAGTAGACTAAACTAGAACAGATAAGTGCTACTTCTCAGGCAAATACGTAAAGACCAAGAAGCACTTCTGGGGGTAAAAGATACAGAGATTCCCCAGGGAATTCTGTGTAACTTAACAAAAAACAGGAAAAACCAGAGGAAGAATAAGTGAAACACCTATGGACTCTCCAAGAGGGAGGTTAACATTGATTTCCTGCTCTGCCTGTCAGAAATCATCTCAGTGAGCTTTAGATGACTCAAACTACTTAATTTGCATGAAGGACTTTGATCTTCACCTCTGGATTTCTTTGGTGGAGACAGAACAGTGAGATTGCCTCTTGCCTTTCATGATAACCATTCTGCTTGTACAGTGCTTTCTCAGGCATTATATCATTTAAGTCTCACATTAACCGATCTATGTCAGTGACATTTTCCCTATTTTACAAACAAGTAACAAGAAATCATGGAAAGAAACGAGTTATTACTCAAGTTTATGACGATTAAGTGTTGAATGGCAGGGCCAAGATCAAACCAATGCCCTTCTCTTCCCAATCCAGTATTTTTTCTACTGCTTTGCCTTCAGATCTGGGGTGGGTGGTGAGAAGGTGAACCAGCATCCTATCTTTTTCCTTTTCTTTTGTTTTCCTATCTAACTTCCTTCAGCTTCCCTTTCCTCAGCCACTAGGTTTGATGTCAGGAGACTGAAATTCTAGTTCTGATTCTGCCACAGGAGTCCGGCTAGTCCTAAGACATGTGTGTCACTCATGCTCTCGTGGCCTCAAAAGCCCCATTATTGTTAATACTTCCAAGTCTGTCTCAATGATAGTATGAAAAATGGAATCAGACTATCTATTGGTTGATTTTTACATTTATATAAAGGTTTTGGACAATAGCAGGGGCTTGAAGGAGTGAGAAAGGTTAAGCCAAAGGAGACTGTCCCTCTGGGGATTAATTCCAGGATGACCCCACCCCATACATACTCACCCTCCCTACCCCAAGGATACAAAAATCCGAGAATGCTCAAATGTCTTATATAAAATGGTATAGCAGGGCCGGGCACGGTAGCTCACGCCTGTAATCCCGGCATTTTTTTGAGAGGCGGAGGCAGGTGGATCACCTGAGGTCAGGAGTTCATGACCAGCCTGGCCAACCTGATGAAACCCCATCTCTTCTAAAAATACAAAACATTAGCTGCACGAGGTGGCGGGTGCCTGTAATCCCACTACTTGGGAGGCTGAGGCAGGAGAATCACTTGAACCCTGGAAGCAGAGTTGCAGTAAGCTGAGATCAGGCCACTGCACTCCAACCTGGGCAACAGAGGGAGACTCGAGCTCAAAAAAATAAATAAAATAAAATAACATAGTATTTGCATATGACCTATGCAAGTCCTCCAGCATAATTTAAATCATCTTTAAATTAACTATAATATTTAATACAATGTAAATGCTGTGTAAATAGTTTTTATTGGTATTGTTTGTTATTGTTGTATTTACATTTTTTCAAATATTTTTGATCTGTGGCTGGTTGAATCCTTGGATAAGGGACCCACACATATGGAAGGCTGACTGTGATTCTAAAAAAATAAGACAAAGTGGACTTATAAGAGTTCACAGTAGGCGGGGCATGGTGACTTACGCCTGTAATCCCAGCACTTTCGGAAGGCTGAGGTGGGTGGATCACCTGAGGTTGGAAGTTCAAGGCCAGCCTGACCAACATGAAGAAACCCAGCCTCTACTAAAAATACAAAATTAGCCAGGCATGGTGGCACATGCCTCTAATCCCAGCTACTTGGGAGGGAGGCTGAGGCAGGAGAATCGGTTGAACCCGGGAAGCAGAGGTTGCCATGAGCTGAGATCATGCCATTGCATTCCAGCCTGGGCAACAAGAGTGAAACTTTGTTTCAAAATTAAAAAAAAAAAAGAGTTCACAGTAAATATTTAGGATGTGGAGTGAGTTAAGATAGGCTGAGCTCAATCAACTCTTCCATTTAATACCTTTCCCTTTATCTTTCCTTGGTCTCTAACAGGGTGCTTAGATGTAATTCCTGAAAGGCCAAATAATATTTTGGCTTTTCCGTTTGTTTTGGTGAAAGGAATGAGGATGTGGAATACACATTGCTATAGGAAACACAGGATCAATAAATTTAAGAATCCCTCATGTACATCTAGCCCAACTTATTCTGAAATGTCCCAATTCTGATCCCATTGTGCTGCCAAACAAATAATTTGCTGTCCTGTTGGAATCTGAGAGTCAAAAGTGTGTGAAAGTTCCAACGTGGTCAGGGATTTTTTTTTTTTTTTGTAATGGATCTATGTGGTAGGTTTGGTGGCTTTGTTTTTACTGCCTTCTAGAACCAAGAAAATCCTTTTCTATGTCATTCACTCAATTAATGCCTTTCACTGTTTTTAGAGGCAAGTTGGACTAGTTCCTGCTTATATGCCTGTCTCCCTCTTCCTCTTCCAGGAAATTCAGAAATACTGACTCATCTTCACTCTTATATTAAAGCAAGCCAGTTTTTCAATAGCTATTAAATCTAGTATGTCCATGAGCAGGCTTCATCTGGAACATTGGAATGTGAGGTCTAGACAGTGTTTAGGAAAATTTGCTTTCAGATCACGTGTGGTAAAACTACACAAACAGAGATGAAAAAGTGAGGTGGTGTAGAGCAAGGCAAGAAAGAAAAATAAAAGAAAGAAATGAGGCTCCAAAACACAGAGATTTGGGAAAGGGATGGAAAGAAATGACAGTGGATAGAGTGGAGTGCTTTTGAAATTGATAGGGAGCATGGTGGGTTACAAAAGCAATTTAGTGATTTTCAATCAGCATTTAAAAAAATGACATGCCATAGTATAAAAATACAGAATGCGTACTGTGAAAGGACAAATATTGTTTTGTAAAGTTTTTCTATATCTATATAAATGTATATTAGATGTATATAACATGTATTTACATGTGTAATAATTAACTACAGATGTGTTACACACACACACACACACACACACACACACACACACTCAAGCTTGGATTTGTTTTGTAAACTGCTCCGCAGTGTGGGTCTAGGTTCCAAGTTTGAAAACCCTTAAACCACAGGATCCAGAAGGATCCCTGCAAGGTAAATTCAAGGTCAAGAGAGAGTCCCTTTTCTGTCCCCCAGCCATCCAAAGCAGTTAACGGAGAGAGAGGAAATGGCGTGGGGGGGGGGAGGCAAAGAGTGAGGCCAAACGTGGAGCAAGAGCGCGTCAGGACTGGGTGGTGCCCGGCGCCTTCTGCCTTGGTCGATTGAGGAACTTGGAGAGGTTGACTTTGGGTGCATTCCTTAAATATTAAACCGAAAGAACTTCCGCGTTTCTTATCCCTGAAAAGTTTGCAACGGTGAAGGATTCGCGTCGCTCCTTGGGGTGACCCTATAAGGGGTCAGTTCCAGTCAAAGGAATGATTACAATTATTACCAAGGGCCAGATGTAGAGCGGTAGGCGGGGCGTGGGAAGCGCGGGAAGGCCGGGCCGGGTAGGTCCACAGAGCGACTCACGTCGTGCTCTGCACAGCCCACCGGAGGGAACAAGCAGTTATACACACTTTTCGGACCTCTATCGAGGCGAGACCCAGGACATGAGTGGAAGTGTGCTCTTTTCGCCGGCCAGGGGCGCCGTCTGCCAAAGGGCAGTACTCGTCTCCACCCCAAGCTAAGCAGCTGGAAGGCTCGGCGTCTACAAGCCGGGCCCCCACGTGACATACTGCGCGGGCCACCGCCTCCACCGCGCCCAGGCCCCGCCCCCGTGACGTATCACCGCCCTCTGCTTGTCTGAGCGTTAGGCTCTTTGGGTTCGCTGATTGGCCGGCCCAGGTGACAGCGCCCACCCCCACCTCCCCCGACACGCCCATGGAGCCTTGGGGAACGCGGTGGGGGGCGGGGCCTGGGCCGGAGGGGCGGGGTGAGAAGGCTGCGCGCGGGTAAAGGGGCCGCCTCGAGCGCGGTCCGAGCGTTCAGCTGACGCGCGCGGCCTCGTTCACAGGACTCCTCACCCGCCGCTCCCCCTCCTGCCGCCGTCACCCCGGAGACCGGCCTCAATCGCCGGCGGGCCTGAAGCTGGTTTCATGGCAGCCTCAAAGAAGGCAGTTTTGGGGCCATTGGTGGGGGCGGTGGACCAGGGCACCAGTTCGACGCGCTTTTTGGTGAGCCCGGGGTGACATTTGAAGAGGCGCTGAGCGGGGGCGGGAGTTGGGGGATGGAGGTGGTGGCTGTTGTATCCCCATCCCGCGTCTCTTCAGCCTGGGACCCCGGCTGCTGGGCAAGCGAGGGAGGCCGGAACGGGACCTACCATATTGGGGGTGCTCCACCCGGTCCTGGGGGACCTCGGCCTCTCGTGACCTCCACGGCCGAGTTGAACGGTCGCAGTTTTGGTAGCGAAGCTGGGTCAACTACTAGTGGGGTGACTCCTCCCCCAAAGGGAGCAGGGACTGTCCGAGCATCCACCAAGAGCGGCCCGCTTGCAGGAGGGGACAGGTGGCCACATTGACGGCTACCGTGGTCTTCCCCAGGAGCATTTGGCCTGCGAGACACAGGACGTCCTTGGATGGGGGGAAAGCTGTGTCACGGCTGTGGTAGCTAACACAGCGCCCTTTCCAGCAGTAGAACGAATAAAGTATTGGAGTGATGATGCGTTGTCATCCTCTCCCACAGAAATTGCAGAGGGTTGAATAGTGGGGAGGGTGGCAGAACAAATTAGGAAACAATCACACTACACTGCTTTTGCCAGAATATTTAATTCCGAAGATTTGGAAATTTCAGTTCTGAGACTGTCCATTATAAACAAATGATTGTCCTCACTGTGCTTCCCAGCATAATGGGAGACGGAAATTCTGTTTCTCTTATTTATCGTGTGTGGCAGCACAGTTTTACCACAAAAGATTGCTATTTAAGTGACTCTGCTGATTAATTTTTGTGCAATTAGGAAACTTGCTCTTAAAGTGACCTAGCACTGAGTTCAGTAAGATAATTTAAAAGTAATTGGGCCGGGCGTGGTGCCTCATGCCTGTGATCCCAGCACTTTGCAAGGCTGAGGCGGTTGGATTACCTGAGGTCAGGAGTTGTAGAGCAGCCTGGCCAACCTGGTGAAACCCCCTCTCTACTAAAAAATACAAAAATTAGCTGGGCATGGTGGTGGGCACCTGTAATCCTAGCTACTTGGGAGGCTGAGGCAGAAGAATTATTTGAACCTGGGAGGCGGAGGTTGCAGTGAGCCGAGATCACACCATTGTACTCCAGCCTGGGTGACGGTGAGGCTCCGCTTCAAAAAAAAAGAAAATAAAAATAAATAAATAAATACGTAAGTAACTAAATAAAAAGTAAAAGTAATTGAAATGGGACAGGCCTGGTGGCTCATGCTTGTAATCCCAACACTAGGAGGTGGAGGTGGGTGGATCACTTGAGGTCAGGAGTTCTAGACCAGTCAGGCCAACATGGCAAAACCCCATCTCTACCAAAACCACAAAAATTATCCGGGCGTGCTGTCATGTGCCTGTAGTCCCAGCTACTAGAGAGGCTGAGGCAGGAGAATCGCTTGAACCCAAGAGGCAGAGGTTTCAGTGAGCTGAGATCGGGCCACTGCACTGCAGTCTGGGCAACAGAGTGAGACTCTGTCTTGAAAAAATAAACAAATAATAAATAAAAGTAATTAAAATGAATGCCTCCTGATAAAAGTCCATGCTTTCAATGGATATTTGACCAACCTGGCAAGTTGATATAAATAATGATTATTTAGCTCTTCACTTTACTTCTAATCATGTTTTCCTGCATTATTTTAGGAATAACGCAGGAAATATTTGTATGTATATATCTATACATATATACACATGTGTATATTTATACATAGGCCTTTACATACAACATATATATTTTATTCAAAGTCCCGTCAAAGCTGGCACTTGACTAAAACTTGCATTTGTACTTTGATCCTGACACATATTTTTTTTGTTTAGAGTGAGAAGCTTTCAGTCTAATTTTGGTTTGAATCTTATTTAATTACTTATCCTGGTTTGAGCTGCTAAGGCATAATTCCACTGTCTTTTGCACTGTTTATCTTTTGATCACACAGGGCAGGTTTCACTTTGTCTTATATTCATAGAAATGTTTATAAGGTAATCCTGAATCAAAAGTAAGAAAGTTTGCTTTACCAGATTTGATCAATACATAATATACACAATCATCATCTTCCCAACTTAAGAAAGACCATTAAGACATGTTTGAACTAACTGTGGGTTGATGTTTAAAGTCGTATTCAAGAATTGCCCACACAAATGCATGCAGGGACCAGGCAGGTAGAAGGGGGAAAGCAGACTAGAGAGATATCTAGGCCAAGGGGACAGCTAGTGGCTGCCAAGCAGGAACACAAGCCCAGTGCTGCCAGATCTTCAGATTAAAAGCTGGTAGTCTAGAGTTTTCAATGGAATCTTTCAATACTTAAATGTTGGCAATTAGTTTATAAAGCACTGTGGGGGCCAAACCAAGCATGGCAGGTGTTCTCAAGTTTATACAGTCTTTATTCAATATGAAAATGGGTAAAATATTTCATAACTTTGTAGGCTTTCTTTTTAGGAGTCAGCTTGAACTGTCTGTGCCTTCTTTTTGACTCTTCGTTATTGCTGTCCATGTAGCCCAGCAATCTTCTTTATCCACTGCAGGTTGTTCCTGGTACCTCAGATTTTGTTGCCCAAAAGATATCTTACTACATCAATGAAGAAGGAGTTGATCAATTTCATATTACCACAATCAGTTGTTCAGTGTGTAACATGAACAACATGAGCCTTCAAAAATTGGCTCCTGTTTACTGGGCTCTGTGAGGTATATAAATAAGTTGGTCTCATTGCATATAAACTAAGATGCAAATTCAGGAGACGCTCATGCTCATCTCATCTCAACTTTTATACATTACTTAAAGAGTAATGTATAAAAGTTGATCAGTAAAGTTGTCTGCTCCTTGAGAAGCAACTATGAAATAATGCTCTAGAGGCAAATAAAAATACCTTAGAGATCCTGTGTGAAGTAGTGAAAAACTTGAGAATGGTTTAGCAAGGTGTTTTTTCCTTTGTTTATAAGGAAACAGGTTGCTAAACTACTCCTTGCAAAATGCAGATAAAAGATTTGCTGACTAAGTGCTTAAATCACAAGGTGATTCCCAGGAGTTATTCCAGTCATATTGCTCCATGTTATAATTATGACTGAAAAATAATTTTTCCTTCTCAGGAAAGAATACAGTGGATAAGAGCTGTCATAAGGAAGCTTATAAAGTTAAAGATATTTAAACAATTTCCTGGCTATTATTCATTAAATTTGCACATTTAACTCAACTTTCCTGAGACCGATAACCTCTAAGCTTTCTTCTTCTTTTTTCTCTGTTAGCAATATTAGCATTCTCCCATAAGGAGAAAATGCTTTATTTGTGCTCTTTCATCCCGGGGAAATGCCTCTATCCCTATCCCCCATCTGCTTCTCTACCTCCAAATAGTGACTCAACTGCCACCTTCTAGTGTAAGTCTTCCTCAAAACCTGTTCAGAATTTCCCCCTCTTCCTATGGCACTTTTAAAAATACTTGTATTAATAGCCCTGATAAAAAAAATAGCTCTGATTACCTTCCCTCTTGTATTATAATTGTATAACTGCTGTACTTGGGAGCAGGGACCTCCTTTAAAGCTATTTGTCATGTTGACCAAGATGCTTCATGAAATACAAAGAGGAACAGCACTTAAAGACTGTTTAGTGAGTGTTTTATGCATGTTTACTAAGTAGATTTTTATTTCTCTTTAATAAGTTAACTAAATTTTAATTCTGGTTTTCTTACCTTTTAAAACTTTCTTACTTGGGTACGCTTGGTTAGTTAATTTCTTCTTAAATTTCAGCAGTAGACATACAATAGAACATGTTCATTTCTTCATCAAATTGTCAAATAATTAATCTTGGGACTTCATGCATATGCTTTGTACTAGTGGCAAATTTCCAACTTATCTGATAGGAAAGTGAATTGGGGTTGGCACATAGTAACTCAGATTGCAGAGTAGGAACTTCTTGGAAAGAAAATTAGTGTAACAGGTTTAAGGAGGGGCCATTTCTTTGTAAGTCGAAAGTTTCAGCTTAAAAATCAACTTCCTTCTTTAATTTGGTAACTAAATTTTTTCCCCACTGTGATGATTTTTTTTAAAGACCTGTAATGTGTTATGACTTGAAATGTGTCAGGTACTATGTTGAGGACTTTTCCAGCATTATCTCATTTAATCCTCATAACTCTGTGATGTAGATAGTATTTGTAAGCTTCTTTACACAGGTGATTAAACTGTGGCTGAGGATTGTGCCCAAGGTCGCAGAGTAACTAGGTGGAGCTAGGATTCAAGTCCAGGTCTCTTATACTCTGAAGCCAGTCCTCCTGACTATTGCCTTGGGTTCCTTAGCTGTCTAGAGCACTGTGAAGGGGAGATGAGAGAGGCCACTTTCTCACCTATCTATCAAGTGTCAATTCTGATTATTGTCACAAATGAATGAATCTTCACCAAGAAAAACATAGTTATAAATTGGTTTTATAATGTATTAAAAATATTGCCTTTGAATGAGTACTCTGGGTTATGATCATCTTGTGACTCAAATTCAGTGGGTCCTAGGCAGGGCTCAGATGTGTCACCGTGGATAATGGTTACATAATCATTTCGTTTCAACAGACAGTCCATGTAAAGAATGACTAGAATTATAGCTCAGTGCTTGTTTTGGCAGGAAGCACTCCCTTGGCCCCAGTTGTCCCATCATACTTAGAGATCTCATAAGGCTTACAGATGGATTTCCTCTTTCCTTCATTTATTGATTCAACTCATTTATTAAGCACCCGTTATGGGCCATGGACTAATGAACAATAAATTTCATAAAACTAATTTGGTTCACAAGTGGAATGAGGCCACTCTTGTGATGAGAGTGATTCTTTTGTTGTTTCTTTTTTTCCCCACTACATTTGCTTGTTTCCTTGCCTGTCATGTTACACAAGTAGCATGAACACATTCTCAACAGAGAGCTGCCACCCACTCTTGTCTTCTTGTCACAAGACTAAGTGGTAAGAGCTTTCAATTTTGAGCCTTTGAGGGACAGTAACATGTCTTTTTTCTTTCCCAAAGCCTGACACAGCATCTGGCATGT